CGGATGCCGCATCAGTTTTCCTGCCAAGGCCAATGCTGAGCCCTCCGCGTCAACGTCAGCGTCTCCGACGAACATGGCGTCGCAACCAAAGGTTTCACGCCACTCAAGGATCCCGGTACAGTCTGCGGGGCCAATGGCGTCGACGCTGACGATTGGTTAGCCATGAATGAGTGAGTGTGCCGAACAGATGGGATCCCACACTTCAGTTGGCTAATCTGCTGTTTTACTTGATAGGCACGGCGAAGGTGTGGTGCGAAAACAACGAAGAAGAACTCACAAGCTGGGACCAATGCAAAGAAAAGATGCGACAGGTGTTTGGCAAAACCATCAGTCGTAAGAACGCCGCCAAAAATGAATTGGCCTGCCGTGATCAATCCCCAACGGAATCATACCTCGCATACATTCAAGGCGTGCTGGCCCTCTGCCGAAAGGCTGAAAACGACATGACAGAAGGTGACAAGGAGGGCATGTCCTGAAAGGGATTACCGACGACGCGTTCAATCTCCTGCTGTGCAAGAACTAACAGTGCCACCGTGGACGCGATCATCAAAGAGTGTCGTCAGTTTGAGCAAGTAAAATGTCGCCGCATTCTGCAAACATTCGCCCGACTTCGAAACACCGCTGCAACATCGACTTGCGAGGACCAGTTCGCACCACAATGACCGTCGCCGCTGGAAGACCTGACACGCATTGTTCGTCGCGAAATGGAAGCTATGGCGCCCTCGGCGTTCAATTCGCGCAGTATTGATACCACTCACGTTATTGCTCCTCTTGTTCAAGCCATCGTGCGCAAGGAGCTTGAAAACATCGGAGTGCATTCCGTGTGCCATGTCACCGTTCCCAGAGTAAGCGAACGCCCTATCGCGATGCCCTCCTCCGACCGACGGTTTTCTCCACATACTCGAAACCCGGCTGAGTGGCGAGCTGCAGATGACCGCCCTGTATGTCTCAACTGCCGCCGCGTTGGACATATTGCTCGTTACTGCCGCAACACATGGCCAACGGCCCCTCGTGCAACGACCAATATGGCCAGTTTCCGCGGTACCGCCTGCACATTTTCCCCTGCCGAAGAGTCCCATGCCATTGACCATTCTCGGAACACTTGGTACAGCCGCTCGCCTTCACCACGTGGGCACCAGTCTCGTTCGCCGCCAATACGTCGCCCATCGTGCCGTTCGCCACAGCCACGGCGCTTCTCGTCCCCCGTGGCTTCCGGCCGCATCGTCTCGGAAAACTGAGAAATTCAGCCCCCGGAGGTGGCGCTGCATTGACAAATTCCGCAGCAAATCCTCTCTCCGTTCCTACCAGGCGAAGTGTAGTAGACGTTGAAGTAGATGGCGTACCTGTACAAGCACTTGTAGACACCGGCGCAAGCATTTCGGTCATGAGTTCAAGCCTACGCACACGCTTAAAGAAAGTTCTGACACCAGCGGCTGCACAAATGCTCCGTGTGGCCGATGGCGGCACGATGATGGTTCTTGGTCTGTGCACTGCCCGATTAAGTATAAAGGACCACACTGCTTCTGTCATTTTAGCCGTGATTGACTACTGCCCTTATGACGTTATCCTAGGCCTGGACTTCTTGTCGAATCACTATGCTCTTATAGATTGTGCTACCGGCGTCCTTCAGCTAGGACTGCCTCAGATAGTCGCTGAACACCACACTGCCCCGTTGCGCCTGTGCTCTCTTCAGGATGTGCGACTGTCACACCAGGCAGCCACCTACGTCATTTTGACCACACAGCCACAGGTTTCCGATGGTCCGATGGTCAATATGTTCTCCTTCCTCTCGCCGACGTCCTCTTGGAGCGCAACATCGCCATTCCCCATATGGCTGTGACTGTCACTGACAACTGTAGCTCGCTCCCACTTCTCAATTTCAGTTTTTGCCCTCAATTGCTTCCTCGTGGCATCTTCTTGGCCAGCGTATCCAATGCTGATGAATTCGAAATAGTGGCTCTCACCACCAAGATTGATTTACTTCAGTCTCCTGTAGCTAACAGCATCTGTTCTATGCCGAGTCGTTTCTCGAAGATGATTGCACCCAACCTCAATTCTGCGCAAGCCAACGACATCCATCACCTTCTCGCATCGTATACCGACATTTTTTATTTCGACGACAGACCTCTAGGGCAAACATCCACCGTTAAGCACCGCATAAACACTGGTGACGCCAGTCCCATTCGATGACGCCCCTATCGTGTCTCGCACACCACGCGCAGAGTTATCCAAGCGGAAATTGAAAAAATGCTCAACAAAGGTGTCATAGAACCATCAAGTAGTCCTTGGGCTTCCCCTTTCGTCCCTGTGAAGAAAAAGGACGGTACCTGGCGCTTCTGTGTTGACTATCGCCACCTTAACAAGATCACGCGAAAAGACGTATACCCGCTACCACGCATCGATGATGCGTTGGACTGCCTGCACGCCGCTACGTACTTCTCGTCTATTGATCTTCGGTCCAGCTACTGGCAGATTTCTGTCGATGAGATGGACCGCGAGAAGACGGCTTTCATTACACCGGATGGTTTATACCAGTTTAAGGTGATGACTTTTGGACTATGTAACGCCCCTGCCACATCCGTACGAATGGGGGACTCTCTCTTGCGTGGTTATAACTAGTCTACTTGTCTGTCTTACGTAGACGATGTGATAGTCTTTTCATCTACTTTATATAGCCACCTGACCTATCTCGTTGCAATACTCGCAGTCTTCAGAACAGTTGGGCTACAACTAAACTCCAAGAAATGTCAATTTGGCCGCCATCAGATTGCCATTCTGCGCCATCTCGTAAACGCCGATGGCGTCCAACCAGATCCTGAAAAGATCCGCGCCGTCCGTAGCTTTCCGGTTTCCTGTTCTACATCCGACGCCCGGAGCTTCATCGGCTTATGTTCCTACTTTCGTCGTTTTGCGAAAAACTTCGCCGACGTTTCCAGGCCACTCACAGATTTGCTGAAGAAGGATACCACATTTTCATGGGACCCTGAGCAGGCTGAAGCGTTCACAGCTCTCATTGGCTGTTTAACTATGCCCCCATACTTGCCCACTTTAATCTTTCTGCTGTTACGGAAGTTTGCACCGACGCCAGTGGCCACGGTATTGGCGCAGTTCTTGCTCAGTGGCACCACGGCAGACAGTGCGTGATAGTTTACACAAGTCGCCTGCTTTCTCCCCCTGAGAGGAATAATTCCATCTCCGAGAGAGAGTGTTTAGCTTCAGTTTGGGCCGTCGCCAAGTTCCGGTCATATTTATATGGTCGCATGTTCTCCGTCGTTGAGGACCACCACGCCCTCTGCTGGCTCACTTCTCTGAAGGACCCGACTGGACGTGTGGGTCGCTGGGCTTTGAGGCCTAAGAAATTTTTGTTTAGCGTCGGCTACAAGTCTGGCCGTTTGCACAAGGACGCAGACTGTCTTTTTCGTCATCCGGTGGACCCTCCTGATCCCGTTGCGACTGACCTGGAGAGCAGCGTGATGGCGTTTACAGATATCAGCGATATGCGCATTCAACAACGACGGAATGGGTCAATGCACACTATCATCGACGCCATCCAGTCTGACAGCCATGACGCCGAATCCCATATGTTCGTGCTGGATGACGGCATCCTCTACCAACGCAACGTCCGCACTGAAGGCCCAGAGCTTCTGCTTGTCATTCCCCGTCATCTACGGCCTGCCATACTTGAACAAATTTACGACACACCAACAGCGGGACACCTCGGTGTTTCTCGCACATACGACCGCGTGCGACGTGGGTTCTTCTGGCCAGGACTGTACCGCACGTGCGTCGATATGTTGCCACTTGCGACCTCTGCCAGCGCCGGAAAAGACCTTCTTTGCTGCCAACTGGACAGCTTCACCCAATTGAAGTCCCCTCTGAACCATTTCATCGCGCGGGACTCGACCTTCTTGGCCCTTTTTCGACGACGACACTGGGAAATAAATGGATCGCCGTCACCACATATTATGCGACCCGTTACGCGATAACAAAAGCCATGCCAACCAGTTCCGCCACTGACATCGCAGATTTTCTTTATGACGTCATCTTACACCACGGTGCACCCCGAGAGCTGCTCACAGACCACGGCCGCTCTTTCTTGTCTAAAGTTGTCGACGACCTCCTTTGATCGTGTGCCACAGCGCATAAGCTATCTACCACCTACCACCCATATACGAATGGCCTAACTGAACGTCTCAACCGCACGCTCACAGAGATACTTTCGATGTACGTCTCCGAAGATCATCGGGACTGGGACGCCATGTTGGCCTATGTGACTTTCGCATATAATTCATCTCGACGTGACACCACGGGATTCTCACCTTTTTATCTTTTGTATGGTCGCGACCACATATTGCCATTTAAAAACACCTTACCTCTCAAGCTATCTGCTTGCAAGTACGCTCGCGAAGCCATTAATCGGGCTCACATGGCTCGTCAAGTTGCCTAGTCTCGTCTTACGAGGTCACAGGATAACAAAAAGCCCGCTACGACCACAGGCATCATAATATAACGTTTGTCCCAGGTGACCGCGTGTTCCTCTGGTCACCGTGTCACCGGGTAGGTCTCTCCAAAATACTTTTGTCGTGATACGCAGGGCCCTACTTAGTCTTACGTCAACTTAGTGACGTCAACTACGAGATAGCGCCATTGCACTCCAATACTTCACCAAGTTCGTCACTTGTTGACATTGTTCATGTTTCGCGCATGAAACCCTACTTCTCTCGCACTTCAGACTCGCACCGAGACGGCCCTTCAACGCCCGGGGGTCCTCTTACGAAGTAATGGATGATGAAGGACAGAATCAGCTGACAGGCGCACGAGTGTGCCAATCAGCCATTGTGATTCTCGCCTGAGGTTGTTCCTCTGTAATTGCGTTTATGCAGAAGTCACTGACCCCGTAACAATACCACCAGCCTCTCCTATTTGAACATTGATATTAAAACGAAGAATATTGTGAAGTGAGTCTCTCATGTGGAAACGATTGTTTTTGTTTGTCGCAGCTATTCGAGTGATGCTCAGGGGCAAGGCGCACGCCGAGTGGAAAGTTGTGGTCAGCGGGGACCGGCGCACGGTCAAGGACGACCAAGTCTTCATCGACGACCGGGCCATTATATGGGGCAAAGGTCAGTCTGCTGGAATTTTGCCTTGTATTCGACCGAAGTAATCGAAGGCTGGAGGGATTGAGCGTAAACTCGTCATGTCGTGTAGTTCTTGTGATGAGAATGTTCATGAACTGCTGCGACGCCCACGACGTCGTGAAGATGGCGGCATGTGCTTAAGTTTCGAAATGGCCGAGCATGTAAGGAAGGCTGTTTCAGCTCCCTAAACGTGAAACCTAGAGAGGAGCGAAGCGTGTGGTTTTCTGAGAAAGATCTCTTTGATGAGGCACTATAGCCGAGCCTGAAATCGGGCATGCCGCGAAGAGTCTTACCAGTCCACTAGGATTACCGGAACGCTGCGGTGGAATGCAACTTAACCTACGGCATAGCTCGGCAGAGCAATCTCACTCATACTTATTTGAATGGGATGTGTGTAAGTATTATTGAGTAGTCTTGAGTGTGAGCGGATGGGAGTGGAAACATGGGTGAGAACTCATGAGTGTGAGTGGTCTTGAGTGCGAACGTGAGTGAGTGCTCATGATTGTCAGTGTTCATGAGTATGAAAGAGCAAGGAGAGGGTGAGTGGTTGTATGAAGGTGAGTGAGCACGGATGAGTGTGAGTGGACGTTTCTATGCGTACGAGTGTGTACTTACTACTGTGAGTGAGCGTGAACATGAGTGCGGATTGTCTAGAGTGTGAACGCAAGCACCAATGAGTGTGAATGGTCATGAGTTGGAACGTTAGTGAGCCCTCAAGTTCTTCATGCCCGGTTTCAGTTACTTACAGTATGTAGAAAAGAGTGTATATGCACGAACAACGTAGTCAGCTACTTGTGGGGCTAACTGTTGCCTTTTTACTTTTGCATGCCTATTTTTATGTTGGGGTATATTTACATGACACGCCGGGACGACATTGGACGCCAACAAGCCAAAGGCGCCTAACAGCTGAGCTGTGTTCACCCGCCATATTAGTGCAGTCAAGAGGCTGCGGGAATACTGCAACAATTTGAACATTATACATTCTTCAGAAATTTATGTGACCGCTATCGATAACGCTGAAATATTTGATGGCCTATGTATAAATGCCGACGTGCGTCACTGCTTGCAAATTGGCCGATGGCCGATGTTCTGTTCACCGCTACCCGCACCAGTGTGTACTCTGACTTTCTGTTGACGGGCCACACGTGTGGCCGAACAAACAGTTTAATCTTAGACCTGCAGCCTGCTCCCTTTGTTCATGTTGAGTATTGATTGATATGCGGGGTTTAACGTCCCAAAACCACTTATGGTTATGAGAGATGCCGTAGTGGAAGGCTCCGGAAATTTCGACCACCTGTGGTTCTTTGACGTGCACCCAAATCTGAGCACAGGGGCCTACAACATTTCCGCCTCAATTGGGAATGCAGCTGGGGGGCGTATTTGGAATTGTTGGTCGCGCATCGCATGAAAGAGGGAAAATAAAGAGTGCGAGGAGGGTGCCAGCGCCAGAGTCAGGATTGCTCGCGCTCTATTGGTTCTTCTCTGTAGGTGACTTGCATGCCTGTAGGTGACGTGCAGGGGCCGCACGCACGTGCCCGCAGTGTAATGTGCGGAGTTTTCACGGCTGTTTCACTGTACAGAAGCACCCCCAACCTGCCGCCACACTTTCTACCTTTCCCTTCTGCCTTTCTGCGTCCCTCTTTCCCTCTCTTTGTAAGAGCTGAGCTGTACCATGCTATTCATAAGAGTTGCAGAAGAGTGACTATTTTCTTTTGTTTTGTTCAATCAACCACTACTACATACGTGACACTGCTGGCGTAGTCGATGTAAGGTCCCTAGATGTTTCATGTAGGGACCTTAGGTCGACGATCCTGGGTGAATTCAACTTCGAAATTACCATCTGCCGTTCGGTCACGTGCATCGAACTTCTGTCACACACTGTACCAGTTCTAACTGCCCTTGCAGAAATGTGATTCTGACTGTCACGGCAAACACCCAGACGCTGACGTCTGAAGTAGACGCCAGCAGATCAAATTTGAAGGGTGTTTTGGTCAACGACGTGGTTCCGAATGACATGGCAGCCACTCCCCCATTTACGTGCGAAATATATGCCAGTTCAGCCGGCCCTTCTGACGTGAAGTGCCTCCTCATCGACCTATGCACGAACAAATGCGCAAAAGTCGCTCACCAGCTACAGCGAGGCAACTAATATGACGATCCATATCGTATTAATTGCTTGCTGCGATCTGTCCTGAAGGCCTCGTGGAGGCAATTCACGTTTGTCGCAGGTCCCGTTAATTAGAGAGGTGATCGCCGGGCGCATTCAAGGATCGAAGTATCGGCCCCCCGAGTTGCACCACAAAAGCGCGGATAATTTAGAAGTGGTCCTATTTGGCGCGCCAGTGGATTCCAGCTGTGGTCCAAAGAACGAGTCAGAGCTGAGAGTTGATAAACACAAAAAAATTATATTCTCAAATACGGCAAATCACACGATACACAAATATGCACACTCGACAATAGTTGAATACGATATGTCACCAATCAAACGTTCTACACAGTAAAATCAGTTACACTCGAAACAACGGACCCAGACAACAATACGCGCTACAATGCAAACACATGCAGCAATTAACCAAGACACTTAAGGACTAAAGAGTTCGAAAACTTATTTAGTCCAAAGTCCTTGGAATAAAGCGTGAATGTTTCTTTCCTAGGAAAGACTCTCTCAACGTCCAGTGCTGTTGTCGATCCACGACCCCCGAAGTTTCTCTTCCAGGACACCTCGCGTCTTCAATTGGCCGCTCTCCAAGCACCAAACTTCGCTGGTAACACGTCGGCTTCCCACGCGTTGCGATTGCAGGACACGTCTTCGCTCTCTGGCGGTAGTCTCACACTATTTTTCTTCTGGTAGCACCAGCCTTCACCCTTCAGGTGGAAACCCTCTTAATCACCTGCTTTGTCACTAAGGACAAAACCTTCGCCGATATGACATGGCGGAAAGACCCTACGCACACTTGCGCAAAACTTTCATCTCCTGCCTACGCTAACGGGCGCGAACTTTCTTTTTCTCCTGCTTTGTTGCTGAGGACAAAACCTTCACCAACAAGGCGGAACACCCTACGCACACTGCCGCAAATTTTCTTCTTCTCCTGATCTCGTTCTCCGCTGTTCGCTTAAATACCTTTCCCGCTAGATTCCAGAAAATTCTAATCGTTTCTTCGGCGCGATGCACAGCCAAGGCTGGGGAAGGTGCGAGACGTTACAAGGGCCGTCCGCGACTCGTGACGCAACTCTACATCACCACGCCCCTTTCCTTCCAGATCTTTAAAGGGCTTGTTCAGTGGCAGATGTGAGGAGGTTGGTCGGCAAACTACGCTACCGAGGAGGGAGAGACGGCGCGCTTGGAGAGTCTTTGGATGCTTGTTTTCTTCTCTATAATTGACCTTGAGGCGCCTCTCTGGCACTTGGTCGCCAGAGTTCGGGGGCGTGCCCTTTTTTGAGCGCTCGTTTGTGACAAGGTTGACCGTCGGAAACTCTTCGCTCATTGAAACCATCACCGTGCTATTGCTATCTTATCGAAACCACCCACTCGCACCTTCACCGCACGGTAGCGATCCATCCAAGGCACGGAAAGGGCGCGCGTGCTTCCACACGATGTAACATCCGTAAACACTTCTTGTGTTTCCGTTACTCAGCGACGACGACAGTAACTGTCGGTGTGTCTTCGGCAGTTCAGCGGCTGAGCGAGAATTCACCCCATGTCTTTGCTTCAAACGACCACCAAGCAGGGAATCTCGGGGGAGTTAACAATGCCCTCTCCGAGGTTTCGGCGGCGTCTGAATAGGCAGCTCGAGCAACCAACGGAAGTCATTTCTTCGCTACCCTATTGTGTATCGCCAACCCTCTTTACCATTGATTATGGCGGGGGCTGCGCAGCTTAGCCGGAGAGGGACAATGGCAGAGCTGGGATCATGGCTGAAAATTAGGTGCAGGTGTGCAAGTTTAATCGGTGTCACAGCGTCACCAGCGCGCTCGTCACCAGCACGTGGCATCTAGCGGCGAAGCAATAGCGCGCCGCTAGATGCCACGTGTCTTTTTCGTTGTCTTTCATTTCTCTCTTTCATGCGATGCGGGACCAAGAAGCCCTTCACACACACACACACACACACACACACACACACACACACACACACACACACACACACACACACACACACACACACACACACACACACACACACACACGCACACACGCGCACACGCACACGCACACGCACACACACACACACACACGCGCGCACGCGCACACGCACACGCACACGCACACACGCACACGCACACGCACACGCACACGCACACATATATATATATGTATCAGGCGAGTGTCTTCTGTAAATCCAGGGATAAATAGAAATTTGCTTGAGCGGAGAAACGTACGACAACCTTTATTACACCTACGTTTCGGCCGAGTCCGGCCTTCGTCAAAGAAGGTCGGCCCCGGCCTTCTTTGACGAACCCGGTCTTTCTCGGCCTTCCCTGACGAAGGCCGGACCCCGACCGAAACGTAAGAGTAATAAAAGTTTTCGTACGTTTCTCCGCTCAAGCCAATTGCTATCTATCTATCTATCTATCTATCTATCTATCTATCTATCTATCTATCTATCTATCTATCTATCTATCTATCTATCTATCTATCTATCTATCTATCTATCTATCTATCTATCTATCTATCTATCTATCTATCTATCTATCTATCTATCTATCTATCTATCTATCTATCTATCTATCTATCTATCTATCTATCTATCTATCTATCTATCTATCTATCTATCTATCTATCTATCTATCTATCTATCTATCTATCTATCTATCTATCTATCTATCTATCTATCTATCTATCTATCTATCTATCTATCTATCTATCTATCTATCTATCTGTCTGTCTGTCTGTCTGTCTGTCTGTCTGTCTGTCTGTCTGTCTGTCTGTCTGTCTGTCTGTCTGTCTGTCTGTCTGTCTGTCTGTCTGTCTGTCTGTCTGTCTGTCT